CTATTCATACAACATACAAATGTTCAGTGCGTGTTTTACATTATCTATATCATTAACTAGACTGTATATACACCATATATATGTTCAGTGCGTGTTTACATTATGTGTTAAGTAAGTGTTTTTACATTATGTGTTAAGTATGTATTTTACATTATCTGTACGATTAACTAGACTGTGTATACACCATGCAGATGTTCAGTATGTGCTTTACATTATTTGTATGATTATGTACACTATTCATACAACATACAAATGTTCAGTGCGTGTTTTACATTATCTATATCATTAACTAGATTGTGTATACACCATGCAGATGTCCAGTATGTGCTTTACATTATTTGTATGATTATGTACACTATTCATACAACATACAAATGTTCAGTGCGTGTTTTACATTATCTATATCATTAACTAGATTGTGTATACACCATGCAGATGTCCAGTATGTGCTTTACATTATTTGTATGATTATGTACACTATTCATACACCATACAAATGTTCAGTGCGTGTTTTACATTATCTCTATGACTAATTAGACTGTGTATACACAATACAGGTGTTCAGAATGTCCAGTATGTGCTTTACATTATTTGTATGATTATGTACACTATTCATACACCATACAAATGTTCAGTGCGTGTTTTACATTATCTCTATGACTAATTAGACTGTGTATACACAATACAGGTGTTCAGAATTTCATACATAATTCTAATTACGTTATTCACTGTCCTTACATCTACACTCCATTTATAAGTAGAGTACCACCCCCCCCCCTCACAAGAACATGAATAAATTGAATGCTACTACTAGTTAATACATTTTGTCGTTTGAACCGCGAAGCCTACGCTCACTAACTTTATGAAGAACATACTACTGATCGAAAATGCTATGTATATGATACGATTTGAAATGACTATATATTGTTAGGTTTATCCGGGTTGCATATCCAGTCGCGATGAATTTTATGTCCTTCACCAATGATTTTTGAAACCTAAACAATTATTTTGTTGTTTGTAACAGTCGCCTACTATCTTAGTTTATACAAGTCAACTAAATAACTGGTTTTCTATCGAGAATGCAAGTAACCTATATATGCAGTAAGAATACAAGAACTTAACTTAAGGGATTATATATATATATATGTTTATCTTGCACGTCGAACCGGTTATTTACAATCGAAATATACTAGTGGAAAGAAGCTGTCATAAACACGGAAATGCTTTGTTTGTTTATTTATTGCATGGTCCCAATGTACTGAGAAGTACGACAAACGGGATTTAATAATACGAGAATAAAAAATCTTAAAATAACTGAGAAGTCTTTAAAGAAGTTGTGATACAAAAACGAAAACAACTGCGTTCAGTAAGATTCATGCAAGTAGAAATATGTTAATTTCTTCTATTTTAATGTCACAGTTTACCACAATACATAAGAAACCTTCTGAGTTTGTGTTTCAGATTTCTTCACATGATTCTAGTATTTAATTAAGTTAGTTACTTCTTCAGATTTCTTCACACGATTCTAGTATTTAATTAAGTTAGTTACTTCTTCATATTTCTTCACATGATTCTAGTATTTAATTAAGTTAGTTACTTCTTCTAGATTTCTTCACATGATTCTAGTATTTAATTAAGTTAGTTACTTCTTCAGATTTCTTCACATGATTCTAGTATTTAATTCAGTTAGTTACTTCTTCAGAGAATCGTGTGAAGAATAACTAACTTAATTAAATACTAGTGATATTTTAGAGAGCAATGAATACCGTTAATTCATATATGGAAAACTTTTCTTACCAAATATTTATTAATAATTCCGGCATCTTTGCAAATATGGAACTTTACTCATTCTTTTTTCTATAAAAATAAACAGTATTTTACCGATAATCTCAAGATGCCCCAAAAGGCAAGAATTTCAGGTTCGATCGCTGTGACGACCACACAGTGCAAGTTTTCTATTATGTAGCATTTTGCTGAAATATACAAACAACCAAACAAACACAAAACGGGTCTATCATGACCCCATGGTTATGACACTCGCCATTTTAACCGTAGGGGCATAATAATGTGACGGTCAATCCAATTATTCGTTGGTAAAAGAATAGTCCAGGATTGGCGGTGGGTGATATTGACTAGTTTCCTTTCCTCTCGTCTATCACTTGAAAGTTAGGGACGGCTAGCGTGGATAGCCCTCGAGTGACTTTGCGCGAAAATTCGTAAACAAATTCCCCCAAGTGGCACAGCGGTATGTCTACGGACTTACAACGCTATCAACCGGGTTTCGATACCCGTGGTGGGCAGAGCATTGTATAGCTTTGTGCTTAACTTCAAACAATCGTAAACAAACAAAGAAAACCGATCTAATTTCCCGGAACCAAATGACGTATCTACGCTCTAATTAAACAAATAAATGCCTCAAGGACAGTAATTATAAAACAAAATCAAAGTTTTATATATCAAAAACATTATCTTTGATCATGCTTAGCTTGTTACACGCTACAAATCTCGGAGAACTGATTCTTACATAACCGAACTTGTTTTGATATTGTCAATGTTTTGACGAAGCATTCCAAACAGAAGCGGTATTTGGAATCAGCATACGTGTTTTGTTTTAAATCTGCATAAGTCGGTTTTGTTAGTAATAATAAGGTGATTGAAAACTAACAATACTTCCAACAGACCAAGGTATTCTGCGATCTTGTATATGACGTATGAAATGCCCATATTATAGCGTAGCAGGAAATGCATGTTTACTGTATTTTGATATATAATTGTTTTAAAGAAATGTTTTTAGACTGCTGGAAAAGGGTATTCTCGTGTGACTTAGATATAACTTGAGTATTGGATAATTAACATGTATTATCACATTCACACTGGATTTTGTAAAAGAAGGAAATGCATTTTTATTCAGAACCATTGTTTCGTTGGCTATCAAAATTAGGTTAGAACTGGTATTGCTAAAATCTTGTACGTAAATGATTCTGTCCTACATTTTACAAATGTCTTACTAACAAAACTTATATGTTGTAAATTAACAATTGACACTTTTTAATAGTTTATCATTGTTAGAGAACCATTTGACATTATTCAAAAGTTCACCAATAGTTTACGAACAACTGACACTGTCTAAAAGTTTATTATAACTAGAGTAACAATTAATGTCATTTTAAAGTTTATTGTTACTGGATTAACAATTAATGTCATTTTAAAGTTTATTGTTACTGCATTTCAATTAATGTCATTTTAAAGTTTATTGTTACTGGATTAACAACTAATGTCATTTTAAAGTTTATTGTTACTGGATTAACAACTAATGTCATTTTAAAGTTTATTGTTACTGCATTTCAATTAATGTCATTTTAAAGTTTATTGTTACTGGATTAACAATTAATGTCATTTTAAAGTTTATTATTATTGGATTAACAACTAATGTCATTTTAAAATTTGTTATTAGTGGATTAACAACTAATGCAACTCTAAAGTTTGTTGTTATGGGATTAAGAACTAATGTCATACTAAAACTTACTGAAACTATGTTGACATCTGATTCTACTTCTATACCTATGTTCTACCTTTTAAAAACGACTGCCATAATCTCACCTCCGCTAATTTGTCAAATCGTGCAAACAGCTCGTTGAGAGTCCTCACTAGCTCTGCCGCAGGACATGTAGACGATATTGCAGTGAAGCCAACAATGTCGGCAAATAAGATACTACACAAACCGAGAGAGAAAAAAGCAACATTAAGTATGCATCATTTTCGTTTACCGTCTATGATGTCTAAATAGTAAATACGTCAATATAAATACGTGTAAAGCTAAAGCACGTGTGTAGAAGTTTTACTGTATAAAAGGATTTGCTTCTTAGCACACTAAACGTTAAGCTTTGCTCATCTGTCGTCTCCTGTCAAACAATGGACTCTCTAATTGGATCTCATTTTGCACGCAATTACACACATTTGTTTAATTTCATCATTTCTATGAAAACACCATAGTTTGGGTTGAAAGATTGTGGTGTTATATAATATAACCCTTGCCAAATAGCATTATTTTCACTTTTACTCCTAATCGTTATTAAGTCTTTTAAGCTTCTTTAGTGTCATGTGGTTCATTGGAAGTTAATCATATTTCTCACATTCATCACAGATTATCCCAAGTAATTAAAGATTACTCGAAGACAGGACGCTATGTTAAATAGTCTATTATCACAGATGAGAGAATTTCAAAACAGCCTATACTTCAATATGCTTTATCAACGGGCGACAACTGTATTCCGAGTTGTGAGAATAGACTAGAAAGCCGTAAGTCCAGTGGACTTCTTTTCTGACCAAACCAACTGGTTGGAAAATGAGGATTAAGGAGTTCGAGAACTAATTTTTATCGTTTTAGAGCACGTGCTCTATTAATTGTGACGTGGGCTAGAAAAGCGCAAGGTTTCGTGTTTCGTTTCTCTTTAAATAGGCACAGTTATTCACGTTTCATGACGTAGTAATTAAAACTTTAAGTGTGCTTTTTCCTCATCACCAGAATTACAATTCAATAGCAATTCAAAACGCATCATCAAGTTTTAAACTCATAACACATGTCATGTTTTTAAATATAGCATGCGGTATTAACTTCCAACTGATATCGATTAAACATAAAAAAGAATCTTTTTCGAGGCCTTTAATGTAAGTATAAACTGCAGAGTGTTGAATATGTCATATTAAAACGATCTTCTTGAATATTTAAATCACGAGACAACCGCAGCCGATTTAAAGTTGTGTTGGAACGGAATGTATCAGAACTACATTTCGACGTTGTTTGACGTTTGATAGATAACGTAACGTCACTTAAAACTGATCGCCTTTAAGAAGGATATATAATAACTTATTCCTTCACTTAATTACATTGGTAAACGAATTAATATGGATCAATTTGGGACACTAGAACCATCCAGAAAGAGACCTAAAAAAATCTTACCCCAGTTGTGATGAGCAACAAATGGTAATCCACAAACAGAAAAGTCAGTGGCAAAAGCCGTCAATGTGTCCCAGGCAACAGTACGTAACATAATCGAGAAGGTGAAGTAATAGTTTTAGAAAGAGATAATTGTGTAATCCTTTACTCTATGAAGGTCGCACATACTACCGAAACGTTGTAAGTATTCTTTTACATAAGCTTAATTTTACCTATTTAAAGCTGTTGTGTTTTAATTATATAATCGAGCAGGATCTCCGTCTGAAAACGAGGTCAAATGTAATGTATAATAGGTCTAATGCAAATATCTTGTGACTAGTATAGTTAATTATAATCATGCTCCGCCAGCTTTGAAATGGCTTTAACACCATATCAGTTCATTTTTGCCTCGAGATAGATACACACTTAGATTGCCACTGACATCACAACTTCTGCAAAATCCAAAGGACAGGCAACACAAATTTCAACGTATAGATAACGGTACACAGGATATTACTCATCTATGATGCACGCGCCATTACTCACCTAACGTTCTCATGCCGACTCATGTAAATCTTCTTAAACTGGCCCGTGACAACTGCTCCCAGGTCCTGTCTGATCTCAGCTGCCAGATGCTGAGGGAGAACAGAGAGCAGCAGTCTTTCCTGTAAGTGAGCAAAACTCGTGTCTTGGAATTAGAAAAAAAATTGTTAACATGATTTAGTTTTGAAAAAATAAAAATAATTTACTCGACACTGAAATCAATTTTAAAAACAATCTCTAGTAGAGACAGTGGTTTATCATGTACACCAGGTGAGAAAGAGTAAAAAAACAAAAAGTTTGTTTTTTAAAGTTACACCCAAATTACACCATCAAAGAAACAAATACACAAATTTCTTGCTAATATAAGGTTTGGAAGTTCCAAAAAGAAAATCATCATATTTATAAAAACAATAATTCATTGAGGGTATTATAAAAGGTAATATTTTCGAAAATAACCCTACATGAAATACACTAAGTTTTCTATCCGATAGCAAACGCTCGAGATTATCGTACACTTTTTTTCATGAAACATTATTTAGAATATAATTTGTTAAGAATATACGTACCCTAAAGCTCTGAATAGAGAGGTTTTCTACTGGAAAAAAAAAAGATACGGAGGAGATAGAGAAAAAGAGATAAAACCTCGGAGAGGTTCGGTATGAGTGGATAAGCCCCCCAGTGGAACAGCGGTATGTCTGCGGACTTACAACGCTGGAAACCGGGTTTTGATACCCGTGGTGGGCAGAGCACAGATAGCCCTTTGTGTAGCTGTGTGCTTAATAACAAACAAAGAGTGGATAAAAATAAACAAGGATAACGGTACTGACAATAGAAATATCGCTATTAATCAAGTAATACAAGTCTTTAAAAACTCACGTGATCGACTTTTCTCGAAAAACAGGCCTTTGACTCGACATACAGGGTTACAAAGAAACCTCTCCATAGTTAAAATTTGTTTGTTTGTTACGAATTTCGCGCAAAGCTACACGAGGGCTATCTGCGCTAGCCGTCCCTAATTTAGCAGTGTAAGACTAGAGGGAAGGCAGCTAGTCATCACCACCCACCGCTAACTCTTGGGCTACTCTTTTACCAACGAATAGTGGAATTGACCGTCACATTATAGCGCCCCCACGGCTGAACAGACGAGCATGTTTGGTGGGACGGGGATTCGAACCCGCGACCCTCAGATTGCGAGTCGAGCTCCCTAGCCACCTGGCCATGACGGCCTTGCTAACTAATTTGTGAATATAATATTTAAACTATTTGTTCTAGGAGACCAAAGTGTATTAAAGGAACATCAAGAATGATAAATTTTATGCAGGAAACTTTGGGCATGATAACATGTTTCAAAAATTCTGACAGAATGTGTTCAATACGCTTCTCATGATTTTCAATCAACCTTATTCCTAAATGAAGCTACTTGAAGCATAGTTTGTTTTGGATAGAATTAACTGATCCTTACCATTTCCTACCCATTGACACGCACTGTATTCAAATCATCAATCTGGCAATACGGAAATAAGAGAGATCAGAGCAATGCTAGTTCACGAGAAAAGCGATTTAGGTCTACTGTGTAATGTGGTTTTGAAACACCCTGTACAATGTTCGAACTTTCCTGAATAAAAACCTCGATTTTCAATGTCCTTCTGGTCAAATGCGTTCCTCTAACACAAACAGGTTTTAAGATACAATCATTTTAAATATGTTTTTTTTTATAATTCCCTTATACAACTGATTTCAAAATTACCTCAGCAAAAACTAAAACATCCCACAAGCACAAACCTACACCATGGGCTGACTGTGCTGTACCCACCACTGGTATCGAAACCCGGTTTCCAGCGGTGTGAACCCTTAGACTTACTACCGAGCCACAGGAGAGGTGGAGGAGGGGGTTATGATGATTTAAACCAGAACAACAAAAAAAGAGTAAATATATAAAAATTAAGTAGAATAGTTGATTGGAGTTTTTGTACAACAAATTCATTTGTTTTGATATATTACAGGTATTAAGTTACCTTGTTGTTGTTGTTTTCAAGAATATAAATGTTAATTAGACACATTTTCTTTTCTTTTTTCACAACATAATAGCTAACGTACTTGCTCCTGAGATTCTTCCTCCAAGATTAGTTTCGCCTCCAGACTTTGGCGAGTCTCTAAAAACGCCTGTCGTAGTTGTCTTTCAGCGAAGAAGAAGGATATCACACCAAGGACATTAACACACAAGAACAAGAAAAGATTGGCACCTATCTAAAGTAAAGCGTTCAAAATATCAGTATAAAGAGATACGCTTTCATATATCATAATGTATATAAACTCCAAATAACACTGTGATTTGGCACTTACAGTATTAATACAAGAAAAAAACGGGAGGAACAGAACAACGTTATAAAAATTAAATCGATAAAACTATAGGTAACAGTATCCGAAACGACACTTTAACAGTGAGGATCATTCTTCCAACTTCATTTTAAAATGTTTAAAATATGTTAATGATTTTAAAGACTAGATTGTAACAGGAATAAAGAAATAGAATACAAATATTTAACAACGACAGAGATGTTCCATTTTCTTTTGGCGACGAGATAATTTCCATTTAATATTCAAAACCATTTATTCCTGAAATCAGAATCAGTAGTAAATTACACTCTGAATCTCATTGAATATTTGGAAAACACAGAATAGAGATCATGACTTCTTCTTATAACCAATGTAATGGATGATGCTACGAATCTCACTAAATATCTGAAAAAACACAAACATAGACATGATGATTCCTGTTTATAAACATATTAGTGGATGATACTATGAATCTCACTAAATATCTGAAAACTCACAAACATAGAAATGATGATTCCTGTTTATAAACAGATTAGTGGATGATACTATGAATCTCACTAAATATCTGAAAAAACACAAACATAGAAATGATGATTTCTGTTTATAAACAGATTAGTGGATGATACTATGAATCTCACTGAAGACCTGAAAAAACACAAAACATAGAGATGATGGTTTCTGTTTATAAACAGATTAGTGGATGATACTATGAATCTCATTAAATCTGAAAAATCACGATTACAAAGATCATTACATATGTCCAGTGTAATAGATGGAACAGCTATTTTAACCAGATATGTGATTAAAGGTAAGAACACAGTTAATCATTTCCGCCTATACTTAGTGTGTGAACGAAACTACGAAGCCTGTAGATAGATATCTGGCCCAGAATAAAGGTAAAGAAACATTCTCTCGTTCCTATTTCTTGTCTAGTGAGTGAGGCTGTAAAAAAACATTGTCAAACTAAACTATAAGAACATTTAATAATGACTCAGTTTTAGTCTCCCGCATGAGGAAATATAAATTGTAGTTGTTATCTAGCCATATGAAGAAAATAAAATTAATCTCTGCTTAGGGGAGAATCAATAATTAAAATAAATTCAGTTTGTAATTCACAATTCTTCTGGTCCGTGAAGAAACACGTAAGTTAAACATAACCTAAATAACCGAGGTGGACACGGCATAGCTTTGAGATGAAACATTGACACAAACTTAACTTGAAACTTATGTTAATATATGTATGTTTATGTGTGTACAGTAAGAAAAATAATTTTGGAAAACACACAAGCAAAACACATACAGGATTAATTATATGTATTTTTTACCCACAATTCAGTTGTACTGTTTGTGATATTCTCACTAATTACGTAAACACAATGTTCGTTTCAGGCTTTTATCTTTTAGTAGTTATCCTATCATTAATCTTGTGTAGTTAAGATGCAGCTTCAAAGTTGTATTAATCCCCCATTACACTTTAATTATAAATGTTTTATATTAGCTATGATACTGTACTTTCTCCTCTACGAAGCCGTTGATTGTTGCTGGGCAATTCCAACTTGATATGTAGCATAATACACGTTAAAACACTTATACTTGCAAGCTTTCGGCCCTCTTATCATAGCCTTCATCGGGCAACAATGTACTGTTTAATTTACCTACGTCATGAGTCTTAAACGACAATTCGAATAATGAGTAAAGAGCACACGTTCTAGCTTTAACCATTCCATTGTTTGTGATTGTGTCTGATTACCGCTTCTCAGCAGCAATTTTTAGGTAGTAACACGTCACTCGAAACCACTTCGTGCTAATGCGTATATTAAAACTCTCTAGATAACATTAACACCTATTTCTGGAGCACAATTGTTGGCAAGATCTGTACTATCGTATTTAATCTAGTAAAGAATATATCTTAATACGCTTAAAATCACTGTTGGGGAGATTCAGTTTTGTTTTGTTTTTTGCCTAGACCACTTCTATTATTAACAGTGTCAGTTTCACATACTTTCTTCAGAATCTTGCATAAAGTTCCTATTGGATCATGAAGTCTTGCAGCAATTTCCCACGTGAAGTGTTCTTAACCAGCTTAAAATTTGATTCATACTTGTTTGTCATGCAATATTTCAGACGTGGGAGCTAAGACTGAAATCAAAGTACTACTGTCTATACTTTTACAAGCGTTATGCTAATGTGGCAATTTCTGATTGGTTGGATTTCACAAAATCACAATGTAAACAATAAACACGTGACTATTGATGGTGCAACCTATTTTCATACGATAAACAGAAGCATTCCACAATATTTGTCCCTTTTTATCGTATTTTTCACTTTTTCCATGACTATTTCCAAAACCCTTATAGATAAACCATATTGACTAATAATAATGTTATTTATGATATTTTAAGGATACACGAAAAGATGAATCTCTCATCAAATAACCTATACCCTATACTCTAGATTGTTACCCAGGTAATATGCTAAATTACTCTGTTTCAGAACTTTAGGTCAAAGCTATACAAAGGGCTATCTGCGCATAACTGTCCATAAATTTAATATGACAACCTAGAGGGTTTGGTTTAGTTTATTTCGAATTTCGCACAAAGCTACACTACATGAGAGCTATCTGCGTTAGCCACCACTAACTTAGCAGTGACAGACTACAAGGAAGGCAGCTATTCAATATTGCCCACCGCCAACTCTTGGGCTACACTTTCACCAACGAATACTGGGATTTACCGTCATATTATAATGCCCCTACGACTCAAAGGGCAAGCATGTTCGGTGATAGTGATTCGAACACGCGGCCATCATATTGCGAGCCGAGCGACATAACCACCAGGCCATACCTAGCCTAGCCTAGACGGAATATAGCTAGGTTTTAGCATCATTCGCTTACTCTAGACTGACCAAATAGTGGGATTTTACCATAACTCTCATAGCACGCCCCCCCCCCCCCAAGTGCGCGTAAATGTTTTGAGTCAAAGGGACCCGAACTATGAAACCTTGGATTCATAGTCTGTACACGTTAAAAATTAGGGTACAACCAATATATAAATCTTCTTCGTTTTTTATACTAGTTGTACCCTCTCATAAAACTTAGTGATACCCTCCCATAAAACTTAGTGTTATCTTCCCATAAAAACTTAGTTATACCCTCCCATAAAACTTAGTGTTATCTTCCCATAAAAACTTAGTGATAATCTCCTATAAAACTTAGTGATACCCTCCCATAAAACTTAGTGTTATCTTCCCATAAAAACTTAGTGATACCCTCCCATAAAACTTAGTGTTATCTTCCCATAAAAACTTAGTGATACTCTCCTATAAAACTTAGTGATACCCTCTCATAAAACTTAGTGATACCCTCCCATAAAACTTAATGATACTTTCCCATAAAAACTTAGTGATACCCTCCCATAAAACTTAGTGATCCTAATGTTGCAATTAATAGCCCGATTTTTAGAGAAAATATGGAAAGACTTCAAGTTTCGTTTCCAAGACAATTCAGGAAGTTTATTTTTATTTTTCAAGTATGGATGAGATTTCAACATTCGAGGTAATTTTCTGACTAAAAAACATACAAAAATACACATTTAACGAAATATAAAAAGGCATTACCCCAGACATTTTAAATGGATTAGAGAGGTTCTTAACGTTAGTCTTAGGGAAGGTAAGCGCAGCGTGCATTTTCTGAAAGCTCTTTATTTAAACATTGGGTTGACTTGGCCAATGGTATCAGTAGTTAAATAAATCGATAGGCTAGTAAGCCGACAAAGAAGTTTCACTTTGATAGAGTCATAGCCTGTGGTATATAGTTTCAGGTCACAAATGATGTTATGGGAGATTCGTCGTGCTAACAGTAGCGTGCTGTAGAATAACAACCTATGTATAGAGGAGGTGGGGGAGAGAGATATGTAATCAAAGAAACCTGTGCTTAAATAATAGATTAGATTTTTTACGCAGTCGATGCTTAAGGGACATACTTATATGCAGGGAGTATAATTTTATTAAGAATAAAAATGCAGTTTGTTTGAAGAAAGTAAACTCTATTAAAATAAAAGAAACGCTTTTAATGAAGGGATTTTAACTGGAAGTTACTATACAACTCGTTCTGACACTTACATACGAAAATAAGTAAAACAACTACAACGTATAAACATTTACATACGAAAATAAGTAATACAATTACAACGTATAGACACTTACATACGAAAATAAGTAAAACAACGACAACGTATAGATACTTACATACGAAAATAAGTAAAACAACTACAACGTATAAACATTTACATACGAAAATAAGTAAAACAACTACAACGTATAAACATTTACATACGAAAATAAGTAAAACAATTACAACGTATAGACACTTACATACGAAAATAAGTAAAACAATTACAACGTATAGACACTTACATACGAAAATAAGTAAAACAACGACAACGTAGAGATACATACGAAAATAAGTAAAACACCGACAACGTATAGATACTTATATACGAAAATAATTAAAACAATTACAACTTATAGATACTTACATATGAAAATAAGTAAGACAACGACAACGTATAGACAATTACATACGAAAATAAGTAAAACAACGACAACGTAGAGATACATACGAAAATAACTAAAACATCGACAACGTAGAGATGCATACGAAAATGAGTAAAACACCGACAACGTATAGATACTTATATACGAAAATAACTAAAACATCGACAACGTAGAGATACATACGAAAATAAATAAAACACCGACAACTTATAGATACTTATATACGAAAATAAGTAAAACACCGACAACTTATAGATACTTATATACGAAAATAAGTAAAACAACTACAACTTATAGAAAGTTACGTACGAAAATAAGTAAAATAAAGACAACGTATCGATACTTATATACGAAAATAAGTAAAACAACTACAACTTATAGAAACTTACATATGAAAATAAGTAATACAATTACAACGTATAGACACTTACATACGAAAATAAGTAAAACAACGACAACGTAGAGATACATACGAAAATAACTAAAACATCGACAACGTAGAGATACATACGAAAATGAGTAAAACACCGACAACGTATAGATACTTATATACGATAATAAGTAAAACAAAGACAACATATAGGTACTTACATACGAAAATAAGTGAAACAACTACAACTTATAGAAACTTACATAAGAAAATAAGTAAAACAACGACAACGTAGAGATACATACGAAAATGAGTAAAACATCGACAACGTATAGATACTTATATACGAAAATAAGTAAAACACCGACAACTTATAGATACTTATATACGAAAATAAGTAAAACAAAGACAACGTATAGGTACTTACATACGAAAATAAGTAAAACAACTACAACTTATAGAAACTTACATATGAAAATAAGTAAAACAAAGACAACGTATAGGTACTTACATACGAAAATAAGTAAAACAACTACAACTTATAGAAAGTTACATACGAAAATAAGTAAAATAAAGACAACGTATAGATACTTATATACGAAAATAAGTAGAACAACTACAACTTATAGAAAGTTACATACGAAAATAAGTAAAACAACGACAACGTATAGATACTTCTCTCGCAAACGAAAGTCTGGCAGAATCTTAATTCCAAAACGACCAAGAAAGAAGAAGTCGAGTGCGTAACGCTTTTCTTGTATAAATTATCTCCTATCGACTTGAACAATACAGACATTTCAAGTATTTTATGTTATAGATTAATTTATGTAAACACGGATTTGACCTGCCAGTGTATGTTTGTTATAAAGTTAATGTTACACCAGAAAATGTATACCAAAATTAATTGGAATTTTATAGAAAATGTTCTCCAGACATGTGCCTGATACATCTACCCCTGCAATAATTAACATAGGTACTGTTCTCATCATACAAGAAAATTGTATAGACAGCATCGAATTAGCAATATTAGTTATTGTAACAGTACTGCAATTTGTATAAAACTTTGACGCATGATAATACTTGTTACTAATTAAAGATCTCAATATTTTCAAGTTTTACCATCAAAAGTAAGAAAACTTACCAAACTTTAACCGTATCTAATGGTTAAACACGTGTTTCATACCTGGTTGCCAATGTACTCTGTCTGTCCGGGAGAAGACACAACTACGAGTAAGTGGAATGCAGCCATAACAACGCCAAGGGTTATGCAAATACGTAACCTGACGGGAAAAAGTACGTAAATAACGTACGAATAAAGAAGAACCCACGGGACCGAGTCGCTAGGCATTATGGGAGCGTGATAAATCCACATATCACACAAAATTTGCGTCATCTCGAGAAACCAGGCGATGAAAGGAAATACAACCCATATCCAGCTGGGCATGTTCCTAAAAGAACACACAATAAAGGAACCGGCGTCCACTAAAGCCACCAGAGAAAGGACAGTCAGGTGTGAGATACGACTAAACCGAAACGAGTAGCTATGTAAGCATAGCAGTACTAAGTCAATAAGAAATATTAAGATTAAACACAACTTAAAATCATTCCTCTTTTCCATTTGATAATATTCTCTGTACAAACGTTCCGCTTCATGGTCCGCGAAAACAAAACGCATGCATTCTGGTAAGCACCGGTGAATACCGCTGACATCTAGGCTTAAACTTGTATCGCCTCGGTGTAGAAGAGAATGACGTTTAGTTGGTGGACTTCCAGAAATAGTGGACTCACTTTCGTAAGCTCCAGTTTTATCCAAAGAAAACGTCCGCACGTGTTTAACATTATTCGGTGGTGCACTGTACCTCCTATTGGGGACCAGTTCCTCAGTTTCATCCTCTTTCCCTGGAAACTTCTGCGTTGGTGACAAAAATTCGCAACTTATCGACTTCCTCTCCTTAGGCATACCTGGCAACTCTGCTTGATCCAGATTAGGGTCTGATTCGTGATGGCCCACCTCTCCTGCATTGTTACTATCTCTAGTAATGGGAATGTCCTTTGGAGATTCGCTCGAAGATCGATTAGTATTTTCTTCTCTCCCGTCCATGAGCAAAGACGTGTTTAAATGATCCAAGTCTTGATCTTTAGTCAAGCTAGGTCTTTCTGCAAACTCAAAGACTTGATCTTTCATGGAAATAGGTCTTTCTCCAAGCTCGAGATCTTGGTGCGAGTCCGAGGAAGACCTTAAATCTTGTTTGTTTTCTTCTTCTGACATTCTAGGTATATTTTTGTGTTGACTTATGGAGAACGGCTTTCATTTTGGAAGGTGATACTTTGAGAAATCATCAATGTCCTGTTAAGTAAAAATACAAGTTTTGAGTCACAGTTTCATACTAACAGTAAAGTATGATTATAATATTAAAAATACAAATATAAATAAATGTAGTATTTACAAATATTCTAATAAATTTAACCTGACAGATAAACTAACACAAAAAACCATCTTTAACATATATCATACCAATAATTATATTATATAACATTGTAGGTGGTGATAAATTGAATTAATTAGCAGAACTGTTACATTTCTACTAATGAAATATTCATTTGGTTGAGAGACTTACCAGTTTCTGTATTTAGAAAAAAAGAAAGCACGTGCAAGTTTACAGACAATTATACTATTAAAGTTCAAAAATATTAAACTGATCTTAAAGAAAACGTATCAATGAAATGTCATAGTGTCATTCTACTCAAATATTTTTAGCAAAAATTAAAAGACAACTTTGTATTTCAGGCACCTGAAGCGACACCTAATAAATTCCTGAGATTTCCTAAGTTAGAAATTATAGCCATAGCTGAAAGTACACAGTGTGTTTAGTGGCGTATCGCAGTTTGAACCTTGGGCCTTTCGAGATCTGTTAGAGAAGCTAGGGTATATTATATTTATTACAGTGTACATTTTATAAAGACTAATATTTCTACGTCCTAAATATTGTCATTTATAGGGAATAGAATAAACAGAAGAAACACACATGTACTACAAGCGAGAGTTAGACAGAAACCTGTAAACACGTGTACTACAAGCGAGAGTTAGACAGAAACCTGTAAACACATGTACTACAAGCGAGAGTTAGACAGAAACCTGTAAACACATGTACTACAAGTGAGAGTTAGACAAAAACCTGTAAACACATGTACTACAAGCGAGAGTTAGACAGAAACCTGTAAACACATACTACAAGCGAGAGTTAGACAGAAACCTGTAAACACATGTACTACAAGCGAGAGTTAGACAGAAACCTGTAAACACATGTACTACAAGTGAGAGCTAGACAGACACCTGTAAACACGTGTACTACAAGCGAGAGTTAGACAGAAACCTGTAAACACATATTCTACAGGCGCATTTAGTGAATTATACAAAAACCTGGAAACACATATACTACAGGCGCATTTAGTAAATTATACAAAAACCTGGAAACACATATACTACAAACGTATTTACTGAATTACACAGAAAACATGGAAAAACATAAACTACAAATGTATTTACTGAATTACACAGAAAGCTGGAAACATATGTATTACAAACGTATCTACCGAATTGGCTAGGAACCTGGATAAACATACAATCCATTACACAGGCATGTAATGAATTAGGTAGAGATCTGAAAAAAAAACACACTTATTTACTTAAGTGTAATAAACTATAATATAACCCGAAAAGAAACTTATCTACACATGCGTGTAATGAATTGTTGAATAACCTGAAAAACACAGCTACACACACAAATTAGGAAAAAGCACATTCACACCCACACACATAACGAAAATAGAAATAAATTTGTTCGTACGCTGATATACACAAATATAATGATGTAGGTAGAAGACCTACACATTAGTAAATAACATTATATATTATATTGTAAACACCACTGTATGCCCATATTTAATTGGATTTATATTTTTCATAAACTGACTGTGTTCGAGATCAATGTTAAAAAAACGTCGAAAAAATTATTTTTTGACACTATGGACACGAGCATGATTTATTATACATTTACATATATACAAATCTTTAGAGTTAGCTGAAGATATTTAACGTAAACAGTATTTGTTTAATTGCTTGTTGTCCAGAACAAGGCTGCAAATTGGACCACCGCTGGGATCGAGCCCTGAATGTAGCTTTACAACTCCTCAAGCTTTTACTGCCGACCAACAAAAATCTTTAAGAAAATTTCAAGTTCTCGGTGTTTTTAACTAAAGTTTATTTACCACAGACACCTTCTTTTCGAACGCTATTACAAACACTTTTCTCGCTGCTCAAACTTTACAGCATTATTTGAAAGCCACAAACTGACTAAACTGTTTTTTTTATCGATACTTTACCGTGAAATGGATAGGGCGATATATATATACTGCTGACATTTGTCTATTGGTCTCGTCGACACGTGCTAGATGTATTAAGGACAACATTAATCATTATAGACTCGTATTAAAATTTAGGAAATATTAATTTTCATTCGCATCAAATAATTATGTTCCTCGTGCTACGGTTATACCACATTTCTATGACGTATTTTTTACTTTCTTTTTTTTTAATCACAATTTAGCATCGAAGTAAATTTGTATTATTTTTACTTTCTGTATAAAATTATTTCAAAATGTCAGATAAAGCATGAATGATCTTTTTTTTTTCCTTCTTAAAACTTTTCGATATTATATCACCAATAAAGCCTAACTTTCTGAAGAACTTGTGGAGACACTACAGTATAAAACATTCAGTGTATTTCGTGATTTATACGTACGTCTCCACCTTTCCAGAAAGAAATACCAAACTTAAGTTGAGACATGGACTGTAGACGACACGTGCTAAGGTTGTAATTTCCGGCATCCATTTGATGTGTATCCACTCGTATCGACAGAAGAGAAGAACGAAAGAAGCTTGTAACTGATGTCTAAAAATAAAACTTAAAATCGTAACTAGTCACGAAGACCTACACTGATTTTCTTTGACGGAAGGAAGCCTAATAAACCATTCTGGAATGTTCTTTAATTGTATGGAAGAAAAACATGTATGTAGGAAAAACAGTAATATTGTAATAACAATCTTAGATAAAAAGGTAAGCAAAAAATGGATACACTTGTTTCTTGCGTTTGTTTTAAAACAAATCCACATTGAGCTATATGCTGTGTCCAACGCGAGTAATTGAACCTCGAATTTTAACGCTGTCTCACCGGGAAACGTTAGATACTTATACATTGATATTTTGAGCAGAAACACAAATAATTTGACAAAACAAAGTAAAGAGTTATGGCCGTATTTAAAAACTAAGGAAGAGAAGAAAAATTACGAAAACAGGAAACCGTCAAAAAAAGAAATTATGAACAGAAACACGTATTGTATTTCATACAAATACATTGAGAAAATTAAAAAGTTATGACCGAATTTAATATCTGGGGAAACTATAGAAAAAGTACGAAAACACGAAAAAAACCCCATAAAATACAGAATCGCAAAAAAACACACAAATCGTGAGAACAGACCGAGTAGAATACTGAAAAAAAAAAGAACGTGTGAAACGAAGTTCCACAGACGAATGAAAAATGCCAGCTCTTGATTTTAAACTCAAATTAAGCATTTGAGGTTCAAAAAACCTGGTTTAGCAATTTAATATTTCTACAGTCGATGCGTGCGATCCTTCTTTCACAAAAGGTGGCAATTTATTTAGAATAAAGTTAGAACTTTTGAAAGATCAATCAATGCTCATAGTAAACATAGATGTATCTTTTATCTATGGTGTTTTGAATTCGTTTTACTCCATCATATAGTGAGCTAAATTAATTTAGGTACGTGAATAACGTTATGACATTTCGTCGAATTTGTTATTAAATATTTTACAGACGACCAACTGTTTATGTATATATGTTAAAGATTTCTTTTTCACCAGAGGTGAAATTGGAACGAGAATCTGTGACGTAGAGGCCTAATGAATTATTTGATTGGCGGCCTTACCCTCTGCTGTGGACTGCAGTTTCGCTCTAACTATCAGACCATGCTAGTCCAACCCAAAAATAAATAAATAAATAAAAGTTATTTTATTAAAGCATTTCTTTAAAAACTGGGAAGATATAATTTAAAATATGTTATTTTAAGTTAATCGCATATAATATAACACGTAGCTTGTAACTAGTTTTAGTGCAATTAGAACGACCAAAAAAGAAGCAATACTAAAAGGGAATTTGCAAAAAACATCAACACGTTTAGCTACGATAGTGTTAGAAAATAAACGTCTTGGTTCTGCCAGTTCCTGAGTTACAAAAAAAAAAACGAAAAAGAAAACGAATGAAATAAAATTTCTTGAAATTTCTGTCAGTAAAATTGGGTGCAAGAATACTGATCTTCAAAATTGAATTTCCAAATGGAGAGATGTCATTGGTTCCATGGTTTTTTGCGTGACGTGTTCAAGAACTGCCTTATTAACATTCATATTATTAATATCTCTGATATGGTATTTCAAAGGTAAAAAAAAAAAAAGAATAGCACGGACCGCTTCTCTAATAAAAACACCGTTATTTCTTGAAATAAAGTTCACTTAAACTATATTTGATCACAGAAAACTTTACACCATTGCAGTGCCTGTAGGCTATGAGAGTAGAATCCACTAAATATATATATATATGAATGATCAGCAAGGAATTTCAATAGATGGTCCAAACTTATCAAGACGTTCCTTAAGTCTTTGAGAGACAGCTTCGCTTATAAAATGTACAACGAATTCTGCTTGACGCGTGTAGGTTTTCCTTTACTACTTTGAGTAGGTGTAATTTGGTTATTACATCTGACTAAGATATGGACCATAAAATATTCTGATATGTCGTTGTCCTTAAGTCAAGTAGCATAGGTCAATCGTGGCGAACTGTTAGCTCTTTCAGCGTGATATATAACGTACTTATTCTAGAAAGAAAATGAATGGTCATAATGAAAGATAAAGAAGACGATCAGGCTTTTTGGGAGCTTGTAGAGATACGAAATTTTCAGTTAGATGTCTCGTAAAGATGGCGCGACAAGAGTAAGTGGTTGGGCATTATAGAGTTTTCCATTGTCAATTTGATAAAGGATACAGTTTCAAACCTGGTGACGAATAAAATTATCTACAAAGATAACAGTACAGCCTCTGTCCATTTGAGAAAGTGTAAAGTAAACATGAGGCTACACATTTCTTTGAGTTTTTGTCAGAAGTTTTCAATGTTGGCCAGAAGTAATGTTATTCATTGTGAAACTCGTGGATCCCCAACAATTTCTGTGTAGCTGAGCTGCATTTGTAGAGCGCGAGTCTCAAGAGCTTATTT